GAAACACAACATATCAAAACTTATGGTTTGCAGCAAAAGCAGTGCTAACAGAAAAGTTTATAGCTGACATAAGCTAGTGATAAAATGAAATAAAGCTTGGAGCAGAGATACATGACATACAGAATAGAAAAGCAACAGACAAAAAACTGACAAAACTAAGAATTAGGGGATCCCTGGGTGGCTCAGCAGTTTGGCGCCTGCCTTTGGCCTGGGGCGTGATCCTGGAGTCCCGGGATCGAGTCCCACGTCGGGCTCCTGGCATGGAACCTGCTTCTCCCTTCTCCTGTGTCTCTGCCTGTCTCTCTCTCTCTCTCTCTATCATAAATAAATAAATAAATAAATCTTAAAGAAAAGAAACAAAACAAAACTAAGAATTAGTTTTTTTTAACTTTTTTTTTAAAAGATCAACAAAATTGATAAACCCTTAGCTAGATTAACTAAGAAAAAAAAAGGGAGAAGACTCAAATAACTAAAATCAGAAAGTAGGGACATTATAACAAATGCCACAGAAATAAGATTATAATACAACAAATCAGATAAGCTAGAAGAAATGGACAAATTCCTAGAAACATACAACCTCCCCAGACTTAAACATGAAGAAGCGAACAACCTGAAGAGATCAGTAACTAGTTAAGAGATTAAATCACTAGTCCAAAACCTACCAACAACAAAGCCCAGAACTAGATGGCTTCGTGGGACAATTCTACCAAACATTTGAAGAATTAACACCAGTACTCAAACTCTTCCAAAAGCTAAAGCAGAGGAACATTTCCAATTCATTTTGTAAGACCAAAGTCAAACAATGACACTACATACATTGATCATGATGAGCACTGAGTAATATATATAATTGTTGAATCAACTATATCATACCCCTGAAACTAATATAACACTGCATATTAACTAGACTGGAACTAAAATAAGAAACTTAATAAAACCAAAACAAAACAAAACCAATGACACTACAAGAAGGAAAAAAAAAAAAACTGTGAGAAAACTATAGAACAATATAACTATAGAACAATATCCTTGATGAATATTGATACAAAGATCCTCTGGGGGCACCTGGGTGGCACAGTTGGATAAGCAGCTGACTCTTGATTTCAGCTCAGGTCATGATCTCAGGGTCATGGGACTGAGCTCCAGGTCATCGGACTCCATGCTTAGCAAGGAGTCTGCTTCTTTCCCTCTGCCCCTCTCCTGGCTCATGCATATGCACTCTTTCTCTCTCTCAAATAAATAAATAAATCTTTAAAAAAAAAAAAAAAAAAGACCCTCCGAATACTAGCATACTGAATTCAATAGCACATTAAAAGAATTATATACCACAACCAAGGGGGATTTATTCATAGGAGGCAAAGATGGTTCAACTCCACAAATCAATCAATGTGATATACCAGAGTAACAGGAAGAAGGAACAAAAGTACATGGTAATCTCTATTAATGCAGAAAAAGCATTCGATTAAGACTCAATACCTTTTCATAATAAAAATATTCAACAAACTAGAAATAGAAGGAATATACCTCAACATAATAAAGGCCATATATGAAAAGCCCACAGCCAACATCATACTCAATGGTGAAAGACTGAAAGCTTTTCTATAATATAAGGAACGAGGCAAGGATGACCACTCTCACAACTTATACTCAACATACTGGAAGTCCTAGCCAGAGCAATTCAGCAAGAAAAAGAAATAAAAGGAATCCAAAGTGGAAAAGAAAAATATCTCTAGATGTAGATTACATGATCTCATATGCAGAAAAACCTAAAGACTACAAAAAAATTGTTAGAATAAACAAATTCAGCAAAGTTGAAGGATACAAAAATCAATACACAAAAATTAGTTCTGTCTATACACTAGTAATGAACAATCCAAAAAGAAAATGAAGAAAACAATCCATTTATAATAGCATCAAAAAGAATAAAATACTCAGGAATAAACCTAACCAAGAATGGGAAAGACCTGTACACAGAAAACTACAAAACACTGCTGAAAGTAATTAAAGAAGCCACAAATAAATGGAAAGACATCCCATGTTCATAAACTGGAAGACTTGACATGGTTAAGAGACCTACTGATTCAACACAAACCCTATCAAATTCTCATAGCATCATTTGCATAAACAAAAAATTTCACCCTAAAATTTCATATAGAACCTCAAAAGACTTCAAATAATGAAAACAGTATTGAAAAAGAACAAAATTAAAGGACTCATACCTTCTGATTTCAAAACATACTGCAAAGATACAGTGATCAAAATGGTATGATACTGCCATAAAGACACACAGTCCAATGGAATAGAGAATCCAGACATAAAACTTTGTATATATGATCAAGTGAGTATCAGCAAGTGTGCCAAGACCACTCAATGAGGAAAAGGAAAGTCTTTTCAACAAATGATGCTGGGAAAACTGGATATCCACATGCAAAAGAATGAAGTTAGACCTGTGTCTTACAACATAAACAAAAATAAATCCAAGACAGATTAAAGACCTCAAACCATAAAACTCATAGAAGAAAATTTATGGGAAAAGCTTCAGGACATTGGATTTGACAATGATTTCTTACATATGACACCAAAACCACAGGCAACCAAAGCAAAAAATATACAAATGGGACAATGTCAAACTTAAACACTTTAAATGCAACCTATGAAATAGAAAAATTTGCAATCCTGTCTCTGAAAAGGGGTTAATATTCAGAATATATACAGAATTCCTATAACCCAATAACAAAAAACTAGATAACCCATTTAAAAAAAAATGGGCAAGGGCAGCCCTGGTGGCTCAGCGGTTTAGCGCCACCTGCAGCCCAGGGTGTGATCCTGGAGACCCTGGATCAAGTCCCACGTCGGGCTCCCTGCATGGAGCCTGCTTCTCCCTCTGCCTGTGTCTCTGCCTCTCTCTCTCTCCTCTCTGTGCATTCTCATGAATAAATAATTTAAAACTTTTAAAAAATAAATAAATAAAAATAAATTTTAAAAAATGGGCAAGAAACTTGAATAGTCATTTTTCCAAAGATGATGTACAAATGGCCAAAAAGCATACGAAAAGACGTTCAGTATTGAAACTCATCATCAGAGAAATGTAAATCAAACCCACAAGAAGATAGTACTTCAACACCCACTAGAATGGCTGCTATCAAAAAACACAGAAAATAGTAAGTGTTGGTGAAGATACAAAGAAATTGGAACACTTGTGCACTGTTGATTGAACTATAAAATGATGTGGCCGTTATAGAAAACAGTGCCTCAAAAACTTCCTCAAAAAACTACCATATGAAGGTGTCTGGGTGGCTCATTTGGTTAAGTGGCTGACTCTTTTTTTTTGTTTTTTTAAGATTTTATTTATTTATTCTTGAGAGACACAGAGAGAGAGAGACAGAGAGAGGCAGAGACACAGGCAGAGGGAGAAACAGGCTCCATGCAGGGAGCCCGATGTGGGACTCAATCCCAGATTCTGGGATCGCACCCTGAGCCAAAGGCTCAACGGCTTAGCCACCCACGTGTCCCATGTGCATGACTCTTGATCTCAGCTCAGGTTTTGAGCTCAGATGAGCTCAAGCTCTGCGTAAAAATAAATAAATAAATAAATAAATAAATAAATAAATAAATAAATAAACAAACAAACAAACAAACAAACCCTACCATATGATCCAGCAATCCCACCTAGATATTTATCCAAAATAACTGAAAGCAGGATCTTGAAGTGGTATTTGCAAACCCATGTTCCTAACAGACTATTCCCAAATCAAGAGATGAAAGCCATCCAAATGTCCATTGATGGAAAAAAGGAAAAAAGAAAATGCAGTGTATACATTCAGTGGAATATTGTTCAGCCTTAAAAAAAAGAAGGTAATTCTTGTTTTTTTTAAAGGATTTTATGCATAAGTAATCTCTACACCCAACACAGGGCTCAAACTTACAACCTGAGATTAAGAGCTGCGTGCTCAACTGACTAAGTCAGTCAAGTGCACCAAAAAAAAAGGAAGATAATTCTGCCATAGGCTCAACATAGATGAAACTTGAGGACTTTATGCTAAGTGAAATAAGTCACCAAAAAAAGTAAAAAACCAGGATGATTTCACTTACACGAGGCATCTAAAGTAGTCAAATTCATAGTAACAGTAAGTAGAATGGTGATAACCAGGGGCTGTTAGAAGGGGGAAAGGGGAGCTGTCCTATGGGTATAGAGTTGCAGGATCCCAAGACTAAAAAGTTCTGGAAATCTATTTCATCAGTGAACTGTACACTTAAAAATGGCTAAAATGGTAAATTTTATGTTATGTGTTTTTTACCATAAGAAAAAAAAAACATGACTAATATACCTCATAAACACAGATGCAAAAAGTCTTACCAAGATAAAGCAAATGGAGTCCAGTAACATATGAAAAGGATTTTAACAAGGGAAAGTGTGGCATTTTGACAGATGCCAAGTGCCACCCCCCTCTGTCAGGGTCTCCACAAGAAGAACCCCTCCAGGACAAGTAGGGGACTGCCGCCCTGGGCAGCAGCACTGCAGGGGGCCTCGAGACCACCCTGGAGACAGCAGCCACTCCACCCAGGCAACAGGAAGGCTCCTCTGCCTGACTCAGCCCTGGCCAAGAGTGACTCCAGGGATGCATGATTCTAGACCCCTAAACAGCAGGAGCGGCAAGATTGAAGAGCTGAGGTTCTTTGAGGGTTTTTAAAGAATGACAGGGGTACCGCAGGGCGCTCTGTGCTCCTTTTGAGGTTTCACAGACCATTCCTGAACGCAGTTCTCCGTGGAGAAGAAAACAAGTGGCATAGATTCTCTAGGCTTCAATCCCTTCAGCTGGAAAATAAGGTGATTGGTTCCTGTTGCCTCTGGTCGTCTAACAAGTCTGAAATACACATTCCAGACCTTGAAAGGGTTGGGTCTCCCCTTCTCTCTCCTTCCAGGAATACTCAACCCATGCCACCAGGGAACTGGCTCTAGTTTTCCTATGATGCAGTCCATTCATCCACTTCTAACATACCTGGCGTGGAAGCTTATTTAGTGACCTCAGATAGTCTTTGTCCAGAATACAATTTCCAAGTGCATTCCCGAAACTTCTAAGGATAAGGAAAAAAAGAGTGCAACAGGTTGAGAATGATTACATGTAAATATCAGAGAACAGAGTTACGACCTTTGTGCACAGTGCTTCCCAACTGCGGCAAAGGAGATGGACCCTAATATACATCCAGAAATGTTTCTTGAGTACCTGCCATGTTCATACACTGTATCAGGCTCTCAAAATACAGGACTGGGCACAGCCTTTGCCAGTCTCTGCCCTCAACAAGAGGCAGGGAGTACAAAAAGACTAAGAAAACACCATTAGCTACCTCCTGCCATGAAGCACTAATTCCGGAGCAGAGATTTTTTTTTTTCTAAGGACTGTTCTAATTCCCCCAATAACAGTGGGTGACACATGCTTAGAGCACAATCTGTCTCCATGACTGAAGCACTTTGCTTGAGATATCTGGCCTCATGCACAAGTTACAGTACTGTAAGTTTTTCATGTATGTTCAAACACGTTTTTCTGGGGATTCAATTCACTTTGATTCTCGAAGGCCATGTATGACCCCCAGAAAAGTAAAACTGAACAAAACCTGTTCTATGTAACTAAGTTGTACATACACAATGAGAAACTGTTCAGGTGTTTTGACAGAATAGGAAAGCTATCTCTGTACTCATGTAGAAAGGTCTCAGGATTCAAGACGGGGTTGGGGGTGTGCAAAATCAAGGACAGAATAGAGAACATGGTATTCTACACCTGTTCCCAAAGAAGGGAGACGTAGGCATAACAAAGCATGAGAGAAATACGAGGAGGAGGAGGCAGGGCTGATGGGGGCAGGAAGACACGTGAGACTTGGGCTATTTTAACTTTTAAACAAATGAACAGAAATCACAACTGCTCTGAAAGCAGAGCCAAACGGAAGCAGGTTAGACTCCAGCTCTTGCGCTTACCTCAGTGCCCGCTTCAGCCCATCAGTCACGGCCTCCTTCCGGGCCTTCTCCAAAGACAAGGCTTTGGACTTGAGGCCCTCGCTGACACCATAGCCCACGTCTTCGTGATACGAGCCATCCTACAGGTAGAAAAAGAGCTCAGAGTCCAACGTGAAAAGCTGCAGGCCTCTCCCTGGTTCCACAGCTCTTCTCACCCTCAAGGGCGTTCACACTGGGCAAAGAGGACCCAGGCACCTTGCTTCAGGACATGGGCACCGAGAACTGTAACAGAACTCTTTTCCAGTACTGCATCCTAGACCTCATCTGCCTGGGAATGTGTGAGACAATTTTCCCTTCCCTCTTCCTCTTTCACATAAAAAAGGCACACAACTAACCTACCCTAAATCTTCCTAAGGTGCATTACTCCAAGGTCTAAAAACCTCTGGGACAGTGAACAAAAGGAAAAGATGAAATATTATATTTAACAGATTCTAATGATTGAATAGCAAATCTCACAGGTCAGGTGGTATCCATTTCTTGGCTTTCGCCAAAAATGAAGGTTCACCTGATCAAGTTAGTACCTGGTAAAGAACCAAATGTAATTTTGGATGATAGCACTCTGATTTTTGAGATATAACTCAGAAAGCTTATTCAAAGAAATGAGTGACACTGTAACAAAACTCTCTCTATTCCCAGTTTATATGAACAAGGTTTTTCAGTACTATTTATAAAAATAAGAAGTCAGAATAGAATTAATGCTGAACATCTAAGAAAAAGTAATATGAAACTATGAACATATAAACTACCCAAAAAGAAAAAAGAGCTATGGGACGCCTGAGTGGCTCAGTCAGCTAAGCGTCTGCCTTCAGCTCAGGTCATGATCCCAGGGCCCTGGGATGGAGTCCCACATTGGGCTCCCTGCTCAGCTGCCAGTCTGCTTCTCCCTCTCCTTCTGCCCCTCCCTGCTCATGTGTGCACCCTCGCTCTGTCTCAAATAAATAAAAAATCTTTAAAACAATAACAAAAAAAGCTTCATCCATCTCATTAAGAAATGCATTTTCCACAAAAATTTATTTTTATTAAGTATATAAATTTTGATGTAGTTATTTTGTCCTCCTCACAGACACAACTGGCTGATCAATTGTGTGTTAATAATACCTGTAATGGTAACTCAATCCAGAAAAATTTTTTTATAATTTAGAGCCTTAAGATCACTGAATATTTACCCCCCAAAATTACTTTTATATACACATACATACACACAGAGGAATATGTTAAGGTTTCATTAAAATGTTCTGAATATATATAACATATATAGTACATACTCCAAACATATATATATATTCCAAACATATTTAATTATAAACAATACATTTTATTTATATATACATATACACACACATATATTTATACATGCACACATATATATGGACAAAAGCCAATGGAGAGATATAAGGGAAATAGGGGTTTGAGAAGAAACAATGTAAAATTTCTCATGATTAGAGAATAGTTTGCTCATGTATTAAGTGGATGACGGTATTTAATCATTTATGATATTTAAAATCCATTGGTTCATTTAAAAATGATGTAACAAAAAAAGATGCATGGACTAAAAGGGATGAAGAACATACTTATCCTGAGGAGCTATGAGAGATGTACAGAAGTGCTGAATCACTACATTGTTCACCTGACCTAACATAGCACTGTATGTTCATTATACTAGAATAAAAAAAGGAAGAGAAAGATGTAACATTTATTTTAGAATGTCAAATTCTACAATATGCTAAAAACATATCATTGCAAGTACAGGCTTACCCCACTATCTGAAAGTAGAACATTCTTATGAGAACTTTCTTAAGTCAAAATGGTGTAAAGCAAAGAAGCAATTACCATTAATTTATATGGAAAAATTTTTGAGCATTCCCAGATCTGGAAAATAACTTGTTATGCTTTTCTGATACCTTAGGACACATCTTGTTAAGATGCAAACAATAAATCCAGATAAAGCAAATTGTTCACAAATACAGTTCAAAGCTCTGGCAGCTTGATGCCGAGATGCTGAGGGGAGTTCCCAGGGATGGACTGGCAGGGCCACTCTTGCTGCCAGTGTACAATGCCGTTTATCGTAAAAGTGAAAATCCTCTCCGGATTTCTTTCAGTTAAGCGAAAACAGTTACCAGTATAGATCTTTCATAAAAGCAAAGCAGTGTAACGCAAACTTTTTGAAACACAGAAGATCTCATTTATACTTATGGTGAAAACTTTCAGGTGTCAACTTAAAATGTGCAAGAAAATGTGAGTTTTTCAGAATTCATTTAGAGGCCACATGAGTAAGAATCTTTGGATACCACCATCCTAAGGAACACTGGCTGAGTCCCAGCTCTGAGCCTAGATCTCTAGCATGGCTGTGCTACTTCCAGAGAATTCTCTACCTGCTCATTCTCTCTTACCACCCACCCAATCCTTGGAGGCAGCAGGTCTATTCCATCACCCTCACCTTCAACTGGACTCTCACAAATGCACAGACTCCCACGTAGAACTTGCCATTGTTAAGGTCAACAAAATCTAGGAGTGGGAAAGAGAACCAGTTGAAGAGGATACTGATCCCTGTGCCTCACCCATATTCTTCCTATTGCCAACCAAACATACCTACCCTACATCCTCACCCACAAAATACTCTCATCAGAAATTAGTATAAAAGTAAGGGAAATGAAGAAGTCACCATTGCCAGGAAATACACTCACCCACATTCTGCTGTGTGATAGAGTGTGCCCAGCCATTATAACCAAACATTTCATTGGCCAGATTAATTACCCTGTGACCCTCAATGTAACATACCTGGAAAAAGAAAGTTAAGGGGAAGAAAAAAAAAAAAAGCTTGTTAAAATTCCTTGCCATATTTAAATAAGAATCAAAATTTACTTAATTTATTCCTTACCAGTTTTTTGTTTTTGTTTTTGTTTTTGTTTTTTGGCAAAACTGCCCTTTAACATTCCAGGGAAATTCTCAGTGAACTTATTTCAAAGATCTTCCAGAAGGAACCAGTTAGAACTAATGTTTTGTCTCAGGGGAGGGACTAGACTCAGAGGGGAAAGATATTCACTCACTTAGCAGTTTCCAAAAAAGTACAAGTCTCAGGTTGACATATATTACAGAAGACCAAAAATATACACAGAAGTTAAATTTAGAAGCAAAAGGCAAAAGAAACATTTTTAAAAGATGGTATAAAAATCCCAAGAAGGCAGGCATGGAAGTCTCAAGACAAGACTTGGGTCACTTCAAATGACAATGATGGCTGGAACCCATCCTCTCCCAAAGACACGAGGGAACATGTAGCAACAGTGAGCAAGAGACCTGAATCCATGAGGACCCAGAGAGGGAGCTGTTGAGATCATCTGAGTAGCCAGCTATTAGGAGCACCCACTTTTCAAGCATATCAATTCTCCTACCCTCTGGCCTCCTCCAGACATGCGGCTACTGATGTATTCTGGGCCCAGCCTCTGCCTCAGAGCATTCTGGATGGCCTGGTACTCTTCTGCTGTGTACTGATACTGCAATTCAGAAAAGAAAAATTAAATTGACATTTCTTCCATTCCTACATCAGCAAATCTCCAACTTTTTGGTCTCCAGACCCTTTTACACTCTCAAAAAGTATTGAGGACCCTAAGAGCTTTTGTTTATGTGGGTTATAACTACCAATGTTAGGAATTGAAACTGAGAAACCTTTAAGGCACACCTTCTTCCATCAGCCATCCTAGCAGTATCACAATAGGCTGCGCATGGCCTGGCAAGTCCCACTCTTCACTCGTGTGAAAAGGAAAAGGCAAGAAGTACTTTAGTATTATTATGGAACTCTTCTTGACCTCATGGACTCAGAAAAGGTCACAGGGCCACAAGTAGACAGGCATCGCCTTAGGTGTCACTACCATCCTTACAAAACTTCCTCAAGCCACAACTGGTAAACTGAAACTTCCTGCTTCAGAGTCTGTGTGTGACATTTATGCCTGCGAGGGAGTAGGGGAGACCCACCGTCCTCTCCAAAGTTGTATACCTCTTCTCTGCTTAAACAATTTCCCACCCTGTATATGCAGCTAAATATACTGCTACTAGTTTTGATTTTTGTCCCCTTAGTAATTTTTTCCTTCCTTATTTAAATGAAATAAATCTTCATCAACAAATCTCTGGTAAAGACAGAATTTGAGTGGACAAAGCAAGAATCTCTTTGATAAGCACAGACTATCTCCACAAAGAATATGACATGGGAATCTTTGGATGCCTCCAATAAAATGAACTGGGTGAAATGTGAACAGGAGTGATGGGGAAATAAATGAGATTTTTCATTCACAGTCCACGTTTCATTTTGAGTGTTATACCATATGAATATGTAATCTAGCCAAAAAAATAAACAAAATATAAATCTAAATGTAATCTCCAGTACTATTTGTCTTTTGATGTCAAAATTCCAAAATGGCCTGAGAGTTCATCAGACTCGCAAAATAATGCACCTAACAGGAAAACCACTGACAATAAATAGCTTCTACATCTATGGCAATGCTTTACAAATTACATTCTCCTACCTTTTCACTTAACCTCATTCTTTCCAGGTATGATAAACACAGTTACCTGTCCAAAGCATAATACAGAGTTGCCACCAGCAGAAGGATGGCTGCCACAGCCTCCAAGAACTGCTTCCTCAGCCCCAAACATGTTGATTTTGAGTAACCTCTATAAAAACAGAAGATTAAAAAAGATCTCAAAGAATGGTAAAGGTAAAAAACAAGAACCTCCACTCAAAATCAGATTAAAGCACCCATATGCAGTATTCTACAAGTTTTTTATTTACTTAACACTTTATTTATAAGCACTGCCCCAATCAGACTAAGTTCCTCAGTGCTTAGCTATCACTGAAGATCCTTTAGAGTCCACTTCCATCTTTGTTAAAATTTTTCTAGAGTTGGGGCACCTGGCTGGCTGAGTCAGTAGAGCATGGGAAGCCTGATCTCAGGGTCATGAGTTCAAGCCTCATGCTGGGTATATAGCCTACTTAAATACACAATAAAAATTTTGCTAGAGCAATTGTATTATTAAAGGTGATTTTTATAATTAGAATGTATAACTGTAATATTTATAATTGGAAAAGTCAAAATTACAAAACACACCAAGGGAGAGTAACCAACCAACTGATTACTACCTATCATATGAGCAACATGACCTTGGCCTCAGTGAGGTCATAAAAGAAGTATAAGCCAGGGGCACCTGGGTAGCTCAGTCAGTGAAGTGTCTGTCTTTAGCTCAGAACATGATCTCAGGATGCTGGGATAGAGTCCCCTGGCTGGCTCCCTGCTTAATACAGTCTGCTTCTCCCTCTCCTTCCGCCCCTCCCCCCAATTCATGCTCACTCATGCTCTCTCTCTCAAATAAATAAAATATACATAAACAACAAAAAAACTAAAAGCCACAATAACTGATCTGCTTTCCAGGACCTAACAAGCTAGCTGATAGAAGACTCATAGACAGGAAAATTAAAGAGCAAGAGAAGGGGCACCTGGGTGGCTCAGTTGGTTTAGCATCTGCCTTCAGGTCATGATCCTAAGGTCCTGGGATCAAGTCCCACATCAGCCCCTGGCTAGGCTCCCCTTTAGCAAGGAGTCTGCTTCTCCCTCTCCCTCTGCTTCTCCCTTTCCCCCTTAAGCTGTCTCTCTCAAATAAATAAAATCTTTAAAAAAAATAAATAAAGAGCAAGAGAAGGCAATACGGTGACCCTAACATTCAGGAATAAAGCATTAGACCAGTGAGGTCTCTTGCAGCATCAGCATCACCTGGGAGCTTATTAGAAATGCAAATCCTCAGGACCCCTGGGTAGCTCAGTGGTTGAGTGTCTGCCTTTGCCTCAGGGTGTGATCCCAGAGTCCCAAGATCAAGTCCCACATTAGGCTCCTTGCATGACAATTGCTTCTCTCTCTGCCTCTCAGTCTCTTATGAATAAATAAATAAAATCTTAAAAAAAAAAAAAACAGAAATGCAAATCCTTAAGTCCTACCCTAGACCTTGTGGACCTCAGAAACTAGAGGTGAGCTCCAGAAGTCAATGGTTGCCCAAGCCTACCAGGTGATTCTGACACAAACTCAAGTTTGGGAGCCAATGTATTATACTGAGACTATGTAAATATATAGTCCATGAGAAAACAGAATTACCCTAAGAAGCACCTGCAACTGGCTGACCCACTACGTGACTACCCCTACACCTGTCTCAGATCAGATGGATTCAGTGTTGTGCCCAGCCTTTCTGTCCCTTTCCAACACTCAAGATCCAGAAACAAGGACATGGTGGGTCCTCCAGTGTAAAATTCTAGGACTTCCTGGGTCTTCCAGTAGGAGCTGTGATCAGTTGTGCTCAGCACAGGAGCCAAAAATCTGTAGATCATCTCCTCAAAAGAGGATCAGGGACTGAACAGACTTCCTGCTGCTGGTGGGGGTGATATGGTGACGGCCAGAGTGAAGATGACAAACCAGAGCTCAGAAAGAAGGTACAGGGGCACCATGGGTGGCTCAGCAGTTTGGTGCTGCCTTCAGCCCAGGGCGTGATCCTGGAGACCCGGGATCGAGTTCCCCCCTTCAGGCTCCCTGCATGGAGCCTGCTTCTCCCTCTGTCTCTGTCTCTGTCTCTCTCTCTCTCTGTGAAAGAAAGAAAAGAAAGAAAAGAAAGAAAAGAAAGAAAAGAAAGAAAGAAAGAAAGAAAGAAAGAAAGAAGAGAAAGAAAGAAAGAAAGAAAGAAAGAAAGAAAAGAAAAGGAAAGAAAAGAAAAAAAAGAAAAGAAAAGAAAAGAAAAGAAAAGAAAAGAAAAGAAAAGAAAGAAAAGAAAAGGTAGTATCCAGCAGTGTTATCCAGCACTGTTATCCAGCAGTGATAACTGGACAACAAAAGTCCTACAGGAGAAAAGCTGGTGTGTTTCTCTGTTTTGAAGATAACGCAGGGGTCATGGTAAACAGAAAAGGTGAAATGAAAGGTGCTGCTTTCACAGGACCAGTTGCAAAGGAATGTGCATACCTGCGTCCACTATTGGCAACACTGCATGATTCTTTGGTGTGTTTTAAAAAAATTAAAAATTATTTGCTTCCCATGTTTGCCTTCCTGTTCTTTTCTACATGTCACTCTTCTTGATATCACCCAATTCCTGCCTCCTTTTGTAAAATGAAATTACTCAGTGGGTGTGTGCAAACTAACTGGCTGTGGGTGTGTGCAAAATAAAGATAAAACAGTTCTGGGGGAAAAAGAAAGCTGTGCCTCAGCAAACTTCCAAGCTGTAGTCTTCAGGTTATTTGCAGACAGTAAAACTACAGACCTGGGAATGTCAAGTGGCAGGACGCTCCATGTGTCATTACAATACAGCATTTAGGGGCTCAAGTTCTAAATGTCAGTTTCTGGCTCTATCATTCACTAGGTGCTTGACCACGGGAAAAATCACATAACCTCTACCAAATGATGTTCTCTCATCTAGAAAATGGACATAATAATACCTACATTTCCTAGGGGTTCTATCAAGATTAACAGGATATTGCATGAAACTGCATTAGAATTGTGCAACATGGGGATGCCTAGAGGGCTCAGCAGATAAGCTCTGCTTTTGCTCAGGGCGTGATCCTGGAGTTCAGGGATCAAGTCCGACATTGGGATCCCTGAGGGGAGGCTGCTTCTCCCTCTGCCTATGTCTCTGCCTTTCTCTCTCTCTCTCTCATGAATGAACAAAATCTTAAAAAAAAAAAAAAAAAAAAAATGCACACATGAAGTACTAAAAGGTTAGCTATTGCTAAGGGTGTCTCAATTTTCTAAAATATGATGAAAATGCAAAAAACTATTTAAATGATCATAAAACAAAAAAAAATGATCATAAAACATTGTATTTCAGCTAAGAATGATAAATTATTCTAATCTGGCACCAAATAAGTAGAAGAGTGGCCTAAATTAGGTTAGTCAATAATTAGTGTCTAAAATTGTTATAATGGGGATGCCTGGATGGCTCAGTCTGAAGAGCATGTGACTCTTGATCTTGAGGTTGTGAGTTCAAGCCCCATGCTAGGGGTAGAGATTATTTAAATAAATAAATAAACTTTAAAAAATTAAATTGTTAAAACAGAATCACTATATTACACACTTGAAACTAATATTACACTGTTTGGGGCAGCCCAGGTGGCGCAGCGGTTTAGTGCCACCTGCAGCCTAGGGCGTGATCCTGGAGACCCTGGATCAAGTCCCACATCAGGCTCTCTACATGGTGCCTGCTTCTCCCTCTGCCTGTGTCTCTGCCTCTCTCTCTCTCTGTGTCTCTATGAATAAATAAATAATCTTAAAAAAAATATATTACACTGTATGTTAACTAACTGGAATTTAAATAAAAACTTCTAAAAAGCACAAAACACTTCACACACACAGGGATGGCTACAATAAAAGACAGTGGATAACCAACATTAGTAAGGATGTAGAAAAACTGGAACACACACACACACAAAATCTGTTAAAACAGGTTGTGTGCCTGCCTGACTCAGCTGATAAGAGCACTCAACTCTTGATCTAGAGTTGTGAGATCAAGCCCTACATTAAGCACAGACATTACCTAAAAACAAAACAAAACAAAACAAAAAAAAACTAAAATTGTTACAAAAAGATATAGTGGAATAAGGATGGTATTTAGAATGCAACTATAGGGCACCTGGGTGGCTCAGTGGTTAAGTGTCTGCCTTTGGTTCAGGTTGTGATCCTGAGGTCCCGGAATCTAGTCCCACATCAGGCTCCCTGTGGGGAGCCTGCCTGTCTCTGCCTCTGCCTCTGTGTGTCTCTCATGAATAAATAAAAATCTTAAAAAAAAAAAAAAGCAACTATAAATGCCAGAAAAAAACACTTAAAAGAATGAAGCAGGGGTGCCTGGTTGGCTCAGTCGGTTAGGTGTCCAACTCTTGATCTCAACTCAGGTCTTGATCTCAGGGTCCTGAGTTTGAGCCCCAAAATGAGATCCACACTGGGTGTGAAGGCTACTTAAAAAAAAAGGAATACAGCAGATCTGTCTCCAAGGGGTGGGACTGGGGTGGAGAACAATGTAGCAGGCATCTACTTTTTCCAAATAAAACTTTTAGCACTATTTCATTCTCCAAATATGTGCATGTATTATTTTAATAAAAATTAAAATAAAAAATTTAAAGAAAGACCTATTACATAAAGCAGAGGTCAGCAACTTTTTCTGCCAAGTGCCAGATGGTAAATATTTTAGGTTTTGCAGGCTACATGGTCTCTGTCACAACTATACAACCCTGGCATTTTAATGTGAAAGCAACCATAGATAATACATAAACAAATGGACATGTTTGTATCCCAATAAAATTTTATTACAAAAAGAGGTGGCAGATTCGGTCCACAAGCCATAGTGTGCCAATCACTGCTATAAAGCATGCTTTGAATATTACAGTCAAAATGCTGATCAATATCCAGCTCCACCCAACCAGGTATTTAAATTGGGCAATTACTTAAACTTTCTGCACTCCAATTTCCTCATCTCTAAAGGGGAATATTAGTAAAATCAACCTCATAAATTTATCATATTAAAATGATGTGATGCCTGGGTGGCTCAGCGGTTGGGCGGCTGCCTTCGGTTCAGGTCGTGATCCCAGGATCTGGGATCGGGTCCCAGCTTGGGCTCCCTGAGAGGAACCTGTTTTTCCCTCTGCCTGTGTCTCTGCCTCTCTCTGTCTGTGTCTCTCATGAATAAATAAATAAATCTTTCAAAAAAGTTTTTTTAATTAAATAAATAAATGAATGAATGAATGAATGAATGAATAAATAAATAAATAAATAAATAAATAAATAAATAAATAAATAAATAAAATGATGTGAGGGACACCTGGGTGGTTCAATGGCTGAGCAGCTGCCTTTGGCTCAGGTCATGATCCTGGGGTCCTGGGATGGACTCTCCCATCAGGCTCCCTGCGGAGAGCTTGCTTCTCCCTCTGCCTATGTCTCTGCCTCTCTCTGTGTCTCTCATGAATAAATAAATAAAATCTTTAAAAAAAAAAATGATGTGGGACACCTAGATGGCTCAGGAGGCCCGCTTCTCCCTCTGCCTATGTTTCTGCCTCTCTCTCTACATCTCTCCCGAATAAATAAAAGAAAATGATGTGATAACAGTATCCAGTAAAAATCACCAATGGATACTAGAAAGTTGTGGAAGATATTTACAAAGTCTCAAATGAGCACTTGTCCACTTATTTGTTAAAATAAAGGGGTATACATTGGGAATATACCTAATACTACTGAGTTGTACACTTAAAAATGGTTGAAGTTGGGGCACCTGGGTGGCTGAATCAGTAAAGCATTGTCTGCCTTCAGGTCAGATCATGATCCCAGGTCCTGGGATGGAGCCCCACGTCAGGCTTCCTGCTTGGCAGGGATCCTGCTTCTCCTTCTCCTGTTACTTACCCTGATTGTGTTCTCTCTCTCTCTCTCTCTCTCTCTGTCAAATAAATAAAATCTTAAAAAAAAAATAGTTGAAGTGGTTGAAATTTAAGTATGTATGTTTTGCAACAATAAAAAAAAAGGAGGAAGAATAACTTAATAAAGGTTTACATCTTTCATGCAAGATCTAATGCAGTCTGGTGGCTCTGCCCATCCTGTGGCTGTACATCTAAGATATGTGACCTCCAAGGTCACCACTACAGTGGGGAGAAAGAGTTGGAAAAGTCACACCAGTCCATAGCTGCCTTAGGCCAGAAGTGATATGCATCACTTCTGGTCACAGTTCACTGGACAGAACTTGTCACAAGACCCCAGCTTAATTGCAATGGAGGTTGGAAAATGTAAGAAAGCATTTGGTGAGTGCTGTCTTTTATATCCATGTTCCCCACTCCAATGTAACCCCCTAGAAGACAGGAGATTCTTGATTCTTCTTGGCACCCCAGTGAGTAGCATAGTACCTGGCTCATAGTAATGGGTCCGGGAGGAAAGTGGTGAGTGATTAAATGAATGAATGGATGGATGGATGAATGAATGAAATACATAGCGTAGGATACTAAGTTTATTTTTTAATTCTTTAAAAACTCATTTTATAAGAGTTATATTTCTCACACTTAAAAAGCAACTTTCTACTTTTCTAAACAATATCTTAGAAGAGTCAACCTTTCATCACAGAAAAGGATAACTTCATCTCTGCCCTATAAAAAGTAAAACATGGAATCATTCTTTTTTTTTTGCCAATTACTACTTTGAAAAACAGCTATCTTCCTTTTAAAACTGTCCATGGGGATCCCTGGGTGGCGCAGCGGTTTGGCGCCTGCCTTTGGCCCAGGGCGCGATCCTGGAGACCCGGGATCGAATCCCACATCGGGCTCCCGGTGCATGGAGCCTGCTTCTCCCTCTGCCTGTGTCTCTGCCTCTCTCTCTCTCTCTGTATGACTATCGTAAATAAATAAAAAAAAAAATAAAAAATAAAAAAAAATAAAACTGTCCATGACCATTTTCCCATTATGAAATTAAAATATCTTTACTGTAGAAAGCTTTAAACATTTATCAAAAAATATGGAAGCAAAATTTGGCTGGATCACCAACCGCAAGAGGTACTCTTTATTTTTTTTTTTTTTAAGATTTTATTTATTTATTCATGAGAGACACAGAGAGAGGCAGAGACACAGGCAGAGGGAGAAGCAGGCTCCATGCAGGGAGCCCAACGTGGGACTCGATCCCAAGACTCCAGGATCACGCCCTGGGCCGAAGGCAGGCGCTAAACCGCTGAGCCACCCAGGGATCCCCAGGTAACTCTTTTTTAAAAAAGATTTAGTTTATGTGTATGTTTTATGTGTATATATGCATGAGCATATTTGCTAAACAAGAGTAGAATCCTAATTTATCACGCATACCTTAATGCAGCACCTCAAATCTTCTTGGCCTCGTCAGTCTCTGAGGCCCTTGAACACTTTTCTACTCCAGCTGCCATTATTAGGTCAACTAAATATGCATGAGTTGAGTGAATGCACAGAGGCACCACCACCGGTCCCTTACTTCCTAGTCATGCCAGATGCCTCTTGCTCCCACCCCTGGGTTCCCTCTTGCCTTGGAAGTATGAGAACCTGTAGGACCCACCTGAAGCCCATGCACAACCGGGGAGTCTGAGGGAATTAATACACCATGAGGCAAACTTTTTACCAATGAGATACAGTAGCTTTAAAGGGTAAATTCTTCTCCTTTCTTCCTTTGGGTGGGTTGTCCTGGGATATAGTACTTCATACATGCTCCTGAGAAACAGCTTAAGGAGATCAAGCAGTTAGTTGTACTTGTCACCAAGGGGTGGCCAGATTTCTTACCCACCTTGTGAAATAACACTGAGCTGTGAGTCCCACATTGGCTTGAGTTCCCCAGTGAAATTAGGTTTGGTTGCCTACTAGTGTTAACTGGCTTGGCTATGCACCCTCTGTTGACTGCCTTTTCTTCCCCATCTCACTTCCCTCACCTCTACCAGACATCCTGGGCTCTTCTCTCAGATAAGCTACTTAATGCTTGGAGAAAAATGTAGGGAGAGCAAAAAATACCCTAGCAATGGAGAAATCTAGCAAATGCTACCTTAATCAGGTAATTAAACATAATGTCATCAATAATATTCTCATCATAAGCTTCCTGATGGATATACTGAAAAGGTCACAACATCACTTAGGGAGTATTTCTACGAATTTAATTATGACTCTAATCAAGAGGAAATAGACAAGTTGAAATCTATAAGGGTTAGATTCAAATTGTATCAATGTCTCAAAAAATAAAGCAAAACAAAAAGGCTCGTGAACTCTTCTAGATCAAGAGACTAAAGATACACAACACACAACTACAACTAGTGTGGTCCTTGAGAGGGTTTTAGATCAGGGGGAAAAAAAGCTGTAAAGGCTAGTATGGGAACAAGGGGGTATTTTAATGATGGACTGAATATTATTCGATGGTATTGCATTGTTGTTAAGGTCTTATCACAGTTATATAAGAGAACAATCTTGTCACTAGGAGATACATGATGGAGCGAAGTGAACGGTCATGTTTTCTGCAACTTACTCTCAAATCATTCAACTAACAAAATACGTGTGTGGGTAAATGCAAAGAGGAGGAGAGGAAGATAAAGCAAAGTAACAAATTTATGAATCTTGGTGAAGGATATGCAGACATCCCTTGTGTAACTTTTCTGAAGGCTTCAAGTGTTTCAAAATAAAGTGTTAGGAAAGACTTCCTCCACAGCCACTTATGGCAGCTACAAAATCTAAATATCCCAATTCATCCAACGTAGGTCAAAAAAAGGAACAAATATAATCACAAATACCCCATAACTACTAATATAACTAGACAACTGAAAATACTACAGGCTTCAAATCGCCTGGAATTAGAAAAAACAAACATCAACTTCTGGTGGAGATAGTTCTCAAATGTTCATCCTAACTCTTCAAGGACAGTAAGGTGGGACATAGAAGGGAAGAGAAATATGTAAAAGAGAGCAGAGGAGGATAGAGAGCCTAAAATGGAACTAAAATTGCTCCCAGGAAAAGCATACCCACACTAAGTATGAAGATACTGACAAAGAGTTCTGGCAGGTCAGAGCCATCCAGGAAAAAAGTGTATATACAACTCAAGGAGGCAGTCTTGAAAAGTCAGTGTTTCTGGGGAAAAGAGGGCAAAAAGGAATAAGACGTGCCTTCGAAACTGTGCTGTAAAGGACAGAAAAGGCAGAGTATAGATCCTGTAAGACAAGAGAAAATTTAAAAGTCAAAGGATATAGAACCATTTCCCCTTTTTTGGCTTTTTGCGTCTAATAAAGAAACCATACTCACTATACTTACAGAAGAAGAGAAACTATTCTCAATCTAGGAAACTCATAAATTATCTATCAATCCTGTTCACAAAATGCAAAATTGAAGATAAAAAAAGTCAGTGAACTTGAAGATAGTTCAATAGAAATTATATAACCCGAAGAGGAAAAAAAAAGACAGACTGAAAATAAGCAAAAGCCTCAGAGTCCTGTAGAATAATATAAAAACAGCTAACACAAATACAACTGAAGGCACAAAAGAAGTTAAAGAAAATAGAAAACAAACAAAAAAATTAATGACTTGAAATCTCCTAAATTGGGTGATAGGCATAAATTTACAGATTAAAGGTCAACAAACTTCAAGCAAGATAAATATAAAGAAAACCGATCACACCCAGACACACTATAAGCAAACTGCTGAAAACAAAAATAAAGAGAAAATCTGGGAAGCTGTCAAAGAAAAGTGGCCCATTATAAATAAAATAACGATAAAAATGATGACTCCACCTTACAATAGAGTTAAAAAAGGCATACTTAGAAACAAATTTAACAAAAGATAGTATAAGACATCCCCACTGAAAACCACAAACAGCACTAAAAGAAATTAGACCTAGTAAAAAAGGAGATGTACCATGTTCATAAATTTCAAGAGTCAATACTATTAAGATGTTAATTTCTCCCAAATTAATCTAAAGATTAAATGTCATCTCAGTCATAATCCTAACAGACTTTTTATAGAAATTGATAAAATAAAAAAAAGAAATTGATAAAATGATTCTAATATTTATATGGAAAATGCAAAGGAACTAGACTGTCCAGATCAATCACGAAAAACAACAAAGTTGAAGGACCTACACTATGTGACTTCCCGACTTACTCTACAGCTATCATAATTAAAATAGAAGTAACTAAAATTGACATAAGAATTTATTATTGGTGGGGTCCTGGGTGGCTGAATCAGTTAAGTGACCGACTCTCAGTTTCAGCTCAGGTCGTGGTCTCTGGGTCATGGTCTTGGGGATGAGGTATCAACATCCGGCTCTGTGCTCACCAAAGGAGTCTGCTGGAGACCCTCTCTATCTCCTTCTGCCCCTCCCTCTACTCTTGTTCTCTCTCTGTCTCTCTCAAATAAATAAATAAATCTTTAATTAAAAAGAATTGATCAGTGGAACAGGAAAAAAAGCCTAGAAACCAACCACCATTTATACAGTCATCTGAATGGCAATGTGAATTGCAAAGGTACAAATATAATACAATAGCATTCTCAACAGATTATTCTGGGATAACAGGATATCTATATGGAGAAAAAATTTTAAAATTTTCCACAAAATATTTTTTACACAATTCACAAAAACTAGAGATGGATCATAGGCCTAATATAAAAGCTACAATTACAAATTTTCTAGAAGAAAATATAATTATATCTTCACATCCTAGAGGTGGTCAAGATTTCTTAGGACTCAGAAAGCAGTAATAAAAAAAATGATAAATATGACTACATCAATATGTAATACTTTGCTTATTAAAGAGCACTCTATGAAAATGAATATGCAACACCAAAGGTGATACCCAGGATATAAAAAAGATTTAACTCCTACAACTCAATAAAGACAATCTAATTTTAAGTAGTCAAACACCTGAAGAGGCACTTAAAGGAAGATACACAAATGTCAAAAAGCACAGGAAAGTTCAACTTCATTAGTAATCAAGAACTTAAAACCGTAATGACAGGGATCCCTGGGTGGCGCAGCGGTTTGGTGCCTGCCTTTGGCCCAGGGCGCGATCCTGGAGACCCGGGATAGAATCCCACATCAGGCTCCCGGTGCATGGAGCCTGCTTCTCCCTCTGCCTGTGTCTCTGCCTCTCTCCCTCTCTCTCTCTCTCTCTCTCTCTCTCTCTGTGACTATCATAAAAAAAAAAAAAAAAAAAAAAAAAAAAAAAAACGTAATGACATACCCTTCTAAACCCTCCAGAATGGCTAAAAATAAAGACTACAGCACCAAAATTTGGCAAGGATGTAAAGCAACTAGAATTCTCATACACCACTGGCTGGAAACAAACTGATAAAACTATTCAGTTGTAAGCACACGCTATCCTCCATGAAAAAATAATAATGACTAGAAGATAGCACAGCATAGAACCATAGCATAGGTTCAGAGGATAGAACAGCAGGCCACAGAGGATTATCCCCAGGCCTTGAACCCTAATGGCACTTTTTACACCCTGGAGATCAGTCCTTTATGAGGTAGGTGTTGGTGCTTGCCTATTTGTTTTCTTAGAGCTGTCTTTGATGAGTTTTAAATTTGATGTAATCTCATTTTAAGTGGGTATTGCTTTCTAAATCTTGTCTAAGAAATCTCTGCACAGGGTAGCCCCGGTGGCGCAGCGGTTTAGCGCCGCCTGCAGCCCAGGACGTGATCCTGGAGACCCTGCATCTGTCCTGCGTCAGGCTCCCTGCATGGAGCCTCCTTCTCCCTCTGCCTATGTCTCTGCCTCTCTCTATGAATAAATAAATAAAATCTTAAAAAAAAAAAAAAAAAAAGAAATCTCTGCACAAAAAAAAAAAAAGAAATCTCTGCACACCCCCAGGTCATGAACATATTTTTATATTTTCTTCTAGAAGCCTTATGTTTTTTAATTTGTAAATAAAACTGATAATTTCCTTAGAAATTAAACATGCAACTGCCATATGACCCAAGAATTCTTCTAAGTATTTTCTCAGAGAAATAAAAACATATTGACCAAGAAAAGATTTGTAGAAAAGGTGGCACCAACCTGGTTCAGTTGGTTAAGCTTCGACTCTTGATTTTGGCTCAGGCCATGATCTCAGGATTGTGATCAAGCCCCCCATTGGGCTCTGCGCTGGGCATGGAGCCTGTTTAAGATACTCTCTCTCCCTCTCCCTTTCCGCCACCCTCTCTTACCAAAAAAAAAAAAAAAAAAAAAAGTGGGACAGAAAGGAAAAGTGCCTGAACCAGAGCAGGGCTGTGAGCAAATGGATGAATTTGAGAGACATTAAGATAAACAAGATTGACAAAATTGTTTTTATTTTTATCCACTTCCTTTTCACATAAAGCATTTCTAATTATATGTGGAAGAAGGGAGGAGGAAGAAGAGGGAATGAGGCATGTTGCATATGGCAATTTTCCTCTTTCATCTGACCTTTCTTTTATCTTTGTTAAAGACAGCACAGGAGGGGATCCCTGGGTGGCTCAGTGGTTTGGCGCCTGCCTTTGGCCCAGGGCGTGATCCTGGAGTCCCGGGATCTGAGTCCCACATCGGGCACCCGGCATGGAACCTGCTTCTCCCTCCTCCTGTGTCTCTGCCTCTCTCTCAATCTCTGTGTCTATCATGAATAAATAAATAAATCTTTTATTAAAAAAATTGAAAGAAAAAAAAAAGCACAGGCAGGGCATGATTATGAAGAATATTGTCCACCTTAAAAAATATGAAACTTTAGTATGAGTCCAATGGAAATTTTAAGCTGAGAATGATGAGATTATACTGTCTCAAAAGGCTCTTTGTCAACAGAGAATAATTGATGGAGGGATCAGTTAGAAGTCTGTTACAACAGTCCAGAGAGAAAATGATAAAGAAATACCATGGCCACGTGGAGGAAGAATGGACTCTGGATATATTACAGAGCAGAACTGAGAGACGTCAGTACGGGCATGGATCTGATTGCAAGGATCAAAAACAGCAGGACAGCAGACTGAGTTCCTTTCTTTTCAAGTACATGCTGCTGTAACATTTGTGAAACTTCAGATGTCATGTGCTCTTTTAAGTGCTATGGAACTTACACTCTAAAGAGAATTAATCGTATGTTTCCCTAGCATTTTAGACACACATCAAAGCACATATTACACCATAATCCACACCCAGCCATTCAAGAAGAGAAAGGCTGTTCCAAACTGCAAGATCACTAACAAAAAGTACAAAAATGAGAAAAATGTGACACTAAATATACCTAAAAGCACCATGAGTGTTGATTTAGGGGTCACAAAGAAATCTGTGAATAGGTACATTCTCAAAGCAGATTCCATGAATAATGACAATACACTACAGGTTTCTGTTTTGTTTTCTTTTCAATAAAACCTCTCCCACAGCTCTCTCAGCCACATTTTCATACACTCATCTCCAGCTACACCCAGTTCATATCACAAGAGAAACAGGTCATGGCACACATAACGCAGCAGTACAACTATTTCTCTGCCAGTTATCACTACAATTAATGATCCAGGAGAGGACTTTAAAAAGACAAACTTCCCCAAAAGATACCAGACCTGAGGACACTAAAATATCTAAGCCAGTCTCAGAGTTAAATGCTGGCTTATAAGAATTTCCCTTAAAAATGCGCCTGGGGGGTGGGGGTGGGGGGCATCTGCCAGGGCTCAGGTCATGATCCGAGCAGGAGTCAGGCTGCCTGCTCCACCTGGGGAAGTCTGCTGCTGCTTCTCCCTCTCCCTCTGCCCTCCTGCTGCTCATTTTGTCTCTCAAATAAATAATTAAAATCTCTTAAAAAAAAAAAGTGTCTCAGACTGTGAGTTCTGTGAACAGATCTTAAAAGCTCTTCGAAGCCACAAGTAGAAACCACCCAAATGCCCCTACAATGGCTTGTTATTCTGCCATTAAAAGGAGTGAAGTACTGACAATGCTACAGCATGCATGAGCCTTGAAAACGTTATGCTCGGTGAAATAAGCCCAACACATAGAAACAAACACTGTAGGATTCCCCGTATGTGAAATATCTAGAATTAGTGAATTCAGAAACAAAAAGTAAATTCGTGGGGTGGGGACAGGGGCAAACGAGAAGTGCCTGCTAACCCGTTGTGGGTGATACAAACCTATGGGACTCGACGATGGCTGCACAACCCTGTGAATATACGAAAACCACCCAACTCTTTCAATGGACGACTTTAATCGTATATGAATTGTATCTCAATTGAAAACAAACACCCCTATGAAGGCCAAATATGCGGCTACACGTGAATGTCAAATTCCTTTGAAACGGGTAACTGCTCCCCAACCACGGCCTTTCCGCCTGCCCCCGCCTGGCTGCAGACACACACCCGAGCCTTCCGCCCCGCGCAGACGGCGCCCTGGAGGCCTGACGCCGGAGCGCCGGGACCGCCACTCGAGCACCGCGCACCTGCACACCGCCCCGGGTCTCCTGCACCCGTCCCTCCTACCAAATCCTCGGGAGGCCCTGATCCCGAACCGCTACTGGGCCAACGAGCGCACGCCCCGGACTCAGGGTCACTGTGCGGCGGCCCACACGACGAGCCCGACTCCCGCCGCCAGCGAGCCACTGGGAAGGCGCGGCCCGCGCTCGCAGCCCGGCCTGGAACCACCCCACTGGGCCGGCCTCCCTCCCTCCCTCCTTCCCCACTTACGCGGCTCGGGCAGCGCGCGGTGCACGCAGGGAGCTCGGTCTACACTAAACACTTGGGGAAGGGAGTTTAGATAGAGCCGCGCAGGGGAGCCTGGGAAGGAAGGGGAAGAGAACGCTGGGAAGAAGGTCATAACCCAGAGCGGGCCAGGGACCGGCGGGAAGTACAGGAGAAGGAGCCGAAAATCAAGTCGGAAAGGGAGAAGGGCCGCCGCAAAGCAAATCGCCGAAAGCCGTAAAGCAAGCTGGCAGCGCGGCGGTGACTTCGATCCGCCAAGGCCAGTCTTGCCGCGTCACTCTCTGGCTCGGTCGGCCCCCGCGCTCCTTCTGGTTCTGCGGCCGCTCAGGTCTCTGCTGCCCCCCGGCGGACTGGGCGAGCTCACGCGGGGCGTTCTGGCGCATTCTTGAAAGGCCCTAGTAAACCCAACCCCCAGATGGAATGCGGCGTTGGGGCCGGGTAGGAACTTCCCAGAAACCATCCATTTAAGCCTTCTTGAGAACAGCCATCCGAGTCCTTCATAGCTCCCACCCCAGACAGGCACTGCAAAGCGAGGCAGGGGGACGTTCTTCCCCTCCGGCCCCCGCCGTGGCCGCACGCACCCACCCATCACCTGATGGCCTCTTCAATCAGCTGGACCCCAGGGAAGTGAGTGTGGCGACCTGGAGGAAGGGAGTTCCTTAGAATGGCCCCTGGAACGGTGACTTGCAACTGGGAGATGACTGCACATCCTATTAGCAGTATTAGCATCCTATTAGTAATCAAAAAGAAGATTAAAATGTGTAGTCATCACAACCCTGTCTTAAGTGCTTTAAGAACTTCAACAAAATCATTCTCTTTCTCAAATTCATTGTCCCAAGACATCCTTTTAACCAGACAGCTTATTATCTGAGCAGTAATGCTCCAGAGCAAGTCATTTCCTGGATGACTACTCACTCTTCCCGGGAACCCCGTGGGAAGCTGAGAATCAGACCCTATGCATGAACAATTTATTTGGTAAAGGCTCCTTTTCAAATCAAACAATAAAGGAATGGTTTACTTTTTAAATGATGCTGGGACCATTAGTTAACCTTTCGAGTTAGATTCCTATCAAAATACATACTAAAATTACAATGGACTTCAAGAGTGAAATGTAAAACACAGGGATACACATAAAACAAAGTAAAAAATACACAGATGAGTACCCAACCTCAGAATGGAGAAGGACTTTCTCAGTATAAAAATGGGACATAAATTGTAAAAGAGGGACAAATGTAACAAGGTACATAAAACTTTTTAAACTTCTGGAAGTTGAAAATAAAATAAACTTTTTAAAAAGATTTTATTCATTTATTCATGAGAGACCTAGAGGCAGAGACACAGGCATAGGGAGAAGTGGGCCCCCGGCTGCTAACCAGCTGCAAGACTCATCCAGGATCTCCGAATCACACCCTGAGCCTCACACCCTGAGCGAAAGGCTCAACCACTGAGCACTCAAGCCTCCTGAAAATAAAATAAACTTTAGAAGTAAATAAGAAAAAAAAAGGGGAATGGTAAGGGGAATTTATCATGAATGGTAAAAAACCTTATATAGGGGTGGCTCGGTTGGTTAAGCGTCTGCCTTCTGGTCAGATCATGATCCCAGGGTCCTGATATCAAGCCCTGCTTTTGGCTCCCTGCTGGGGTGCGGTGCTGTTTCTCCCTCTCCCTCTGCTGCTCCCCCTCCTTGTGTTCACACTTTCTCTCTCTCTCTCTCTCTCTCTCTCTCTCTCTCTCTCTCTATCAAAAAAATAAATAAAATATTTTTTAAAAGAACTCACATATAAAAAGTTCTAACAACTCAAGAATAACAGGCAAATGAAATGAGTAGATATTTCACAAAAGGATGAATACAATAAATATGAGAAAAAGTTTAACTTTAGTAAAAATTTAGAAATCGTGAATATTAAAATAAGTATATAGGGATCCCTGGGTGGGTCAGCGGTTTAGCACCTGCCTTCTGCCCAAGGCATGATCCTGGAGTCATGGAATCCAGTCCCACATCTGGCTCCCTGCATGGAGCCTGCTTCTCCCTCTGCCTGTGTCTCTGCCTCTCTCTCTCTCTCTCTCTCTCTCTCTCTCATGAATAAATAAATAAAAGCTTTTAAAAATAATAAAAATAAGTACATGATTTCACTCATTTCCATTTTAAATTAGGAAATTAAAGTATTTCATAAACTATCACATGATTTACATTTTTTTAAAGATTTTATTTATTTATTCATGAGAGACCCAGAGAGAGAGAAAGAGACACAGGCAGAGGGAAAAGCAGGCTCCACCGCCTGCAGCCTGGGGTGTGATCCTGGAGACCCGGGATTGAGTCCCACGTGGGGCTCCCTGAGTGGAGCCTGCTTCTCTTTCTGGGTCTCTCATGAATAAATAAATAAAATCTTTAAAAAAAAAAAAAAAAAAAAGCAGGCTCCAGACAGGGAGCCCGATGTGGGACTCGATCCCAGGACTCCAGCATCACGCCTTGGGGCAAAGGCAGGCGCTAAATAAACCTTTAAGCCACCCAGGTGTCCCACATGATTACATTCTTATTGAAAAATACAAAGAGTAAAAATAAATCCAACATTTTATTTGGCCAGTCATACAACAAAACCAGTCCTATTCTCAGAGTTAGCCATTGTTATTAGTTGATGTATATTCTTGCTGACCTTGTATTTATGATCATACATTAAAATAATGTTGTCTGAGGGTCACCTGGCTGGCTCTGTCAGTGGGCTGTGGGGCTCTTGATTTCTGGGTAATGAGTTAAAGCCCCACTTTGGGCAAAGAGCTTCCTTTAAAATCTTTAATTAGTTAATTAATTAATTAATGTCCAATAATATTCTGTGTAGACGATAATCTCACACTGCTAAAAGGAATATAAACTGTGGCAACCTTTCAGGAAAGCAATCTGACAACATATATTAAAAATATATATGGGAGGCTTTGCGTGCCCCTCGCTGCCACCGGGATCTTCCGAGCGGAGCGCGTGAGCGGCTGCCTGCACCGGCCATGGCGCTTCCCGTCCCCAAGGCCCCGGGCTTTGCCCAGATGCTCAAGGAGGGGGCGAAGCATTTTTCCGGACTAGAAGAGGCTGTGTATAGGAACATACAGGCTTGCAAGGAGCTTGCCCAAACAACTCGTACAGCATATGGACCAAATGGAATGAACAAAATGGTTATCAACCACCTGGAGAAGTTGTTTGTGACAAACAATGCAGCCACTATTTTAAGAGAACTAGAAGTACAGCATCCTGCTGCAAAAATGATCGTAATGGCCTCTCACATGCAAGAGCAAGAGGTTGGAGATGGCACCAACTTTGTCCTGGTATTTGCTGGAGCCCTTCTGGAACTAGCAGAAGAGCTTTTGAGAATTGGCCTGTCCGTTTCAGAGGTCATAGAAGGTTATGAAATGGCCTGCAAAAAAGCCCATGAGATTCTTCCTGATTTAGTATGTTGTTCTGCTAAAAACCTTTGAGATGTTGATGAAGTGTCTACCCTGCTTCATACCTCCATAATGAGTAAACAGTATGGTAATGAAGTGTTTCTGGCCAAGCTTATTGCTCAGGCATGTGTGTCTATTTTTCCTGATTCCGGCCATTTCAATGTTGATAACATCAGAGTTTGTAAGATTTTGGGCTCTGGCATCTATTCCTCTTCTGTATTACATGGCATGGTTTTTAAGAAGGAAACCGAAGGTGATGTAATAGCTGTCAAAAATGCAAAAATAGCAGTGTACTCCTGTCCTTTTGATGGCATGATCACTGAAACTAAGGGAACAGTATTAATAAAGACCGCTGAAGAATTGATGAATTTTAGTAAGGGAGAAGAAAATCTCATGGATTTCCAAGTCAAAGCTATAGCTGATACCGGTGCAAATGTCATAGTAACGGGTGGCAAAGTGGCAGACATGGCTCTTCATTATGCAAACAAGTACAATATCATGTTGGTGAGGTTGAATTCAAAATGGGATCTCAGAAGGCTATGTAAAACAGTTGGTGCTACAGCTCTTCCTAGATTGACTCCTCCAGTCCTTGAGGAAATGGGACATTGTGACAGTGTTTACCTCTCAGAAGTTGGAGACACACAGGTGGTGGTTTTTAAGCATGAAAAGGAAGATGGTGCCATTTCTACCATAGTGCTTCGAGGCTCTACAGACAATCTGATGGATGACATAGAAAGGGCAATAGATGATGGTGTTAATACCTTCAAAGTTCTCACAAGGGATAAACGTCTTATTCCTGGAAGTGGAGCAACAGAAATTGAGTTAGCCAAACAGATCACATCGTACGGAGAGACACGTCCTGGACTTGAACAGTATGCCATAAAGAAGTTTGCTGAGGCATTAGAAGCTATTCCCTGAGCACTGGCAGAAAACTCTGGAGTTAAGGCCAATGAAGTCATCTCTAAACTCTATGCAGTACATCAAGAAGGAAATAAGAACGTCGGATTAGATATTGAGGCTGAAGTTCCCGCTGTAAAGGACATGTTGGAAGCTGGTATTCTAGACACTTACTTGGGAAAATACTGGGCTATCAAGCTGGCTATGAATGCTGCCATCACTGTCCTTAGAGTGGATCAAATCATCATGGCAAAACCAGCTGGTGGGCCCAAACCTCCAAGTGGGAAGAAAGACTGGGATGAAGACCAAAATGATTGACTGGCTTAGTTTTTTACTGTAGGTGAAGACTACATTTGTAGCAGTAGTCTAGGAATTGCCTGATGTTTTCATATTTTACTTAAGTTAAGAAGAAGTGTTTTGTGTTTATATCCTCAGCTGGATGATAAAATAAACATGTTGTTGCTGTCAAAAAAAAAATATATATATATATATATGGGGCAGCCATGGTGGCTCAGCGGTTTAGTGCCACCTTCAGCCCAGGGCATGATCCTGGGGACCCAGGATCGAGTCCCA